TAAGTCAGTTCACCCTACATGTTGGTCAATGCCATCTTATTTTAATTATTTTTTCACATCTCATCTTGTAATGAATCCACTCTCTTAAATATTATTCATCACATCTCCATTTTCATCTCTGGAGAGGAGGCAGTGCTCTTTGACTTAGTACTTCGTGTCTCTGCTCCCTCAACTCCCTCCCGCATATCGGCTCCAGACTCATCCCCTCCGCCTAAGCCTACAAAGGTTCAGGTTCTCCTTATTACTCCGGCGGCGCCTCTCCTCAGCCTGGCAACTATGACCCTCGGTAAGGAATTGGTGAGCCTCACCACCAAAACATGCACACACCACTGTGAACCTCGCAACAAACACACATTACTCTGAAACTCGCCACCAACACACACGCCACTGTGAACCTCTTAAAATGTGGTGTAAGAAGGGGAGACAACAATCTTACACGCCTTCGTCTGCACTCTCTTCAGGGGTGTGTAGCAGTTAAGAAAGAAGACGGGGGGGCAGAGGTAAGCTTAGGAAGTACAGGTAAAACTGTTATGTAAACACTAAAGAGCTCAGACGCGGGAACTCCAAGAGAGTTGAGACGACGACGACGATGTGGAAGCGATAGCATGGAGATTTGGTAGTTTTACTGACGTTACTATCCAGTTCAGTTTGTTATCTATGTCGACGCTGAGGAGCTTGGTGGAATCCACAACTTTTGAGTGTGTTGGGGCCCAGTGTGATAGAAGGAAGTAGAACATGGTCGATGGAGAGGTTAATGTGCATAACCATGGTCTTAGTATGGTTGATGGTGGCCCAATTTCGGAGGCTATTCAGTATATTCTGAAGCGGGCTATAGTCGGGAGCCGAGTTGTTCATACTGATATCAAAGGTGGAGTCCACGACATACCTCCAGAGCATCGTTAATGAGGATGAGGAAGCAAAGAGATGCCATCCTAGTTCCTCTGGTGACGCCACAGGTGGGTGACTGAAAGATGCAGACAGTCCCTCGGAAGCGTACCGCCTGGCGTCGGTCACTAAGCCATGATATGAGGCCTCCGAAACCCGAGGTCGATGGTTTTGTTGATAGTTCAGTTATGAATGGCTAAGTCAAATGGTTTGATGGAACCTATGCAGGTAACAGCCACATATGTCTTACGTTTGACTAGGTTGCGGTATATGAAATCAAGAAAGCCTACAAGACAGTGGGTGGTGGAGGAAGTTTTCTTATTGTCCAATTGCTGAGGATCTATGGCCCTTGCAATGTCGGCATAATCCCAGTCAGGTGCAAAACCCTCGCAGACTATTCTGGGTTTTGGGATGATGGCATCTTTCTCGTCTGAGAGAAATATTGATAATGGTGCAGAGTACTAGTTCCGGGGAGAACTCCTTGTTGAGCTTCACTGGTAGGTCAATGGGCCACTTCACTAAGTCAGTGGGTGAGGGGGCCGGTAGGTGAGTAGGGAAACAGGTGGTGCCAGGCTCGGTGAGCGTCTGACATATAAAGGTATGTGCAAAATTATTATTAGTTGGTTGAGCTGCGTCATCATTGGCGATGGCTGGTCTGCTTCACTGTTGCAGTTTGGTTGTATAGTGAGACTTATTTGCTGCGCGAATTTAGCGGATGATTTTGTTGCAGACCCTGAGGCAGTTGTTGCCATTGATATTATAGGCTCTGTTTCCCTGCTGCATAAGTGTGTGTGTGTGTGTGTGTGTGTGTGTGTGTGTGTGTGTTTGTGTGTGTGTGCTCCTTTAAAGATGAGAGATGTCGTCAGCTCAATAGATTGGTCAAATGCTCTTCTTTATTTACAAAGACCGGCTTTTCTTGACTGATGACACAAAAGTGTAAACGTAATAGTATACATACTTTAGTGACTACAAATGTCCCATGTGGTTTTTTCTGCCAAGGTAACACTTTTCCTTTTTGTTATTATAAACTCCCGCGCACCACCACCTCGTCACCTTGTAGTACATACCGTCCGTGAAACAGGAGGCGGATGATTTAAGATACCGCTATACCCTTTCCACACCTCCGCATCACCCACGCTGCCTCAACCAATGTTTCTGTGAACATCAGTTTCTTGATAAATTGAGCAAACAGAGTGCCATCATCTGCATGGGTCGACATAACCAATTTCCAGACACCCCCTGACGTCAGTGTAGTTTTCCACTCGTCTTTCGGGCCACGACTTTCCTTGACCCTAGTGGGCATTCCCTCATTCCTAGTGGTCTTCCTTCCATTTTTAGTAGCCATTTTCATACTCTCAGCAGTGTTTCTTTCATATCTGGTAGATCTTCTTTCATTTCCAGTAGTTGTTCTCGTATTCCCAGTAGTCCTGCTTTTATTGCTAGTGGCCCTTTTTTCATATCAAATACATTTTTTTTCATCCCCACTAGTCTCTATTTCAGTCTCAGTGTTTCTTCCTTCATTCCGAGTAGTCCTTCTCTCATCCCCTGAAGTCCTTCCCTTATCCCCTGAGGTCCTTCCCTCCTTCCCAATAGTCACTCCCTCCTTCCCAATATTCCTTCCCTCATCCCCTGTGGTCCTTCCCTCCTTTCCAATAATCCTTTCCTCATCGTCTGTGGTCATTCCCTCCTCCCCAATAGTCCTTCTCTCATCCCCTGTGGTCCTTCCCTCCTCCTCAATAGTCCTTCCCTCATCCCCTGTGGTCCTTCCCTCATCCCCTGTGGTCCTTCCCTCCTCCCCAATCGTCCTTCCCTCATCCCCTGTGGTCCTTCCTTCCTTCTCAATAGTCATATCCTCGTGGCCATTAGCGCTATTCACCCAATGATACTTTTACCGTACCTCTTTTGTTTCGCATCTCAGTTGAGGGTTACAATTTCTCCAGTCTGGTAACACTTGCACGTAGAAAAGACATTCTCTCAAGCCTAACCCCCTAACTCATGTCCATAACACACCCAATCTATTCTTCCTAATCAATAACACACTCCCTCAAACCTACCTCCATTTACCCACGCACACAACACACGCCCTCAAGCCTACCCCCATTAACCCACGTACACAACACACTCCCTCAAGCCTACCCCATTAACCCACGTACACACCACACTCCCTCTAGGTGACCCCATTAACCCACGTATACAACACACTCCCTCAAGCCTACCCCATTAACCCACGTACGCAACACACTCCCTCTAGCCGACCCCATTAACCCACGTACACAACACACCCCCTACAACCTACTCCATCAACTCAATTACAAAACACTCCCTTTCTAATCTTTCCACTCAACCTACGTACACAAACACACTCTCTCAAGCCTACTCCATTAACCTACGTACACAACACGCTCGCCCAAGTTTACCTCATCAACTCTTACTCACCACAAACTCCCTCCTCTCTAACAATACTCTCAAAAGTTCCGTGAGAGAGTGAGAGACGCGCGTGTGTGTGACGTTGCAGCAGTGACCACTACCAATAACCTTTGCTGATGACGAGAGCGAAATCAATCATCCAATGAAAACTGGCGAGCGCCAGGGGAATCACCTACGTGCAAATTCCATTATCATCTGACAATTTTCACATTGCGATTTCCTCTCGTCGTGTGTCTCATCTCGTGTCTTCTATAGGGTCATAAACATTACACTGAGGAATGTATCAATCAATTTTCTAATCTTAGTTTTCATGCCAACTTTTATTTCACACCAATTTTGGGTTGTTGCTGTAAAAACGGAACTCAGACAAAGAGAGACTGAGGGAATTCACTTCTATATATTTCTCCAGTTTCTTAGAGTACGCGGATTACCGTAAAAGCCAAATCCGTATATCATAACTAGCTGGTATTATTTTTAACTTCTGAAGGGAAGTAAGAGATATATCCTGATAAGAAAAACAAACGAGTTTAGTTGCCTTCATTCTAGGTTGTGCTCGTTCTCCTAACTTACAACTTCAACAACTTCTGCTACTAGTATTATTCCTACTACTGTACTACTACTACTACTACTGCTTCTGTTATTATGGCCTTCAACTTCCCCTTATAGTCATACCTTCTCACATTTTATTACCAAATTATCCTAACAGAAAATTATCTACCCTAACTGCGTTAGTTAAGCCTCATGTCTATGCAACATTCTGTGACTGTTGCCTCATAGTCTATGTCTGCGATTGTTGTTGTTTTAGGAACTGGAGATCTTGTTCTCCTGAGACACAACAGAGCAGACCTGAGTAAAGAGAAGGATAGGAGACACCTCACTCAGGCCACGACGCAACTTCTGTCATAGAAACCCAAGATCCATCCCACCTAATGTGAACACCCGACGAGTGAAGCTGCCTTGGTCCTCATTCTGAGTTCTCTGTACCTATACTCTGTTCTTTCGTTCTTGTTCCTACTCTGTGTAGCCTCGAGAGACAGGTCACGGAGACATGTGGCCAGGGGTTAAAATCCATGGGCACTTACATCAATTCGGTCTTCGTTGGTTGTATTTGCAGTCCTGTGAATGAAGCGCTATCCACATTTTTGCTGCGAAGTCCTTTACTTCGTCGTGCCTCATGCAAACGAAATCTCCCTTCTTCCAAACTATGGGATGGTTGATGTAGTAGGATGTTCCATGCATGCATTGGGTTGGCATGCCTTCCACTGGCCAGCCGTACCTTAGAGCAATGGCATCTGTGAATTCTTGTTTGTTGAGGCTGAAGCTCTTTTCTCTTATCAGTAGAGTTGTTAGGTAGTTTTAGGTGCCTACGAATTGCGCCGCTACCTCGGTTATTTCTTCACGATCTTTAACATATGTTACCCTAGTTGTTCAAGTTTTTCGGTTTGGGTATGTTGCCGTTCTGTCGCAATAGAACATTGAATTTTGTGTAGTTCGTTGGCGTCTCCATCACTTGCGGCATTTTGAGCTACAATGTGCTCGGCGAGGGCTGCCGTGAGCTTGAGAGAGTTCTGATGTTCAGTAGCTGCAATCTCCTCCGAGTTAGTGATTCCCATCCCCCCTGATGGCGTTTCTGATGGCTTCTTCTAAAGGATGGTAGGTCTGATAATGCACACCAGGTAATTCCAGCGATGTTTGACTCCGTTGGTGAATGCTGCATACACCGCATGTGGCTCAGTCATAGCAATTTTCTACAGAGCTTTGATTTCCTTCGCCCACTCGTTTACCTTTCCAGTTACGTATTCGGTCTTCAAATCATCCCTGACGATTACCGCGCCTGGGTGACTTTCGCCTCCCTTTGTTATTTTGACCTCACTTCCATTGATGATCTCTAAGAGTTCAGTCGTAAGTATTCTGGCTTCACAATGAGGAAGGATTTGCTGGCATTTGGGAGGTGGTCTATCTGTGGACCACTATTACTACTACTAGTAATAATAATAACGATAATGCTAATGTTTCCATTACTGTTATAATCTGTACTACATTACTTTATCATAAAACAACTCTCTATGAACTCTTCCCAACAAAAACGTGGACATCCTTACATGGATAAGAATAATACCAGATAAAAAAGAAACCCCCGGACAGAAGTGAAGAATATTCTCATCTGCTCACACCTATGGATGGAGAAGGTGTCCGTCTGAGGGAACAATTAGTGGAGGACGGTCGGTCTCATTACCGTTTCTTTAGATCTTTTTCTTTATGAAGACAAAAGGCAATCAAACTTTTTCTTATTGGGTCAAACGCTTCATTGGTTCTGTGAGATTTGTTGGAGTTTCTTCTGTCAGTTGTTATGTAAGTGTTTTTTCTTTCTTTATTTTTTCTCCTCCGAGATCTATATTGTTATTTTGATGATACTGATACTGTATATGTATGATAGTACTACTGAAGTTCCTATTTGTCCAGCTTTTGTCAGTATGAATATTGTGAGGATGTATTACTTGTGGTATTACAGGTTCTTGTACTTGTGTATTACATATGTGTATTATGTGTGTGTGACTGTACGTAGAAGCACATGTATATAATCGTTGTATTTTACAGGTGTTATTGTAGTACTTTCGTTACTCTTGTATATGTATTTGTGTGTGTGTGTATTACCCACCAATGACAAGTACGGACTATTATTCATTACCTGAATACCTCGGTCAGCCTGCCTCATTATTTCCCTTATCCTTCATTGGCAACATATCCATTAGATGATGAGAAACTTTCCCCATTAAATGAAAGAGACATGTTAATGAACATTTCTGAAACTCCCATTTCCCTAATTGTCGAAGTACAATTCTAAGTTGGTCGCGTCGGAAGCATCTTCATCATGGGAGGTTTGGCTCGTTAATCCACATTAGCCAATTACTTTATACGCGCTCTGCCCCTCTAACACTATTGTTTCCTCCTCAGAAAGTAAAAGAGATGGACAAAGGGAAATACAGAAAGAGGGAAACTGTAAAGACAAAGAGAGAGATAAAGAGAGGAAAGACGTGAGAAAAAGAGAGACATAGAGGGAAGGATGATGTGAGACAAAGAGAGACAGAGAGAGGGAAGACGTGAGACAAAGAGAGAACGAGAGATAAAGAGAGAGATAGAGAGAGAAGACTTGTAACAAAGAGAGAAAGATAGAGGGATGAAGAGAGGAAGACGTGAGAAAAAGAGAGATACAGAGACAGAGATCTTCTACCCCATCACCGTGGTGTCTAGCCTTTGAGAATAGCCAGCAGGGGGCAGTGTCCCCTGGCCTCCTGATTGGCCACAGCATTATCTTTGGGTCTTCTGGGAGTATGGGGATGAGGATCGTCGTGAGAAGGGTCAAGGGGACCCAGATCCACTCAAGGATCCTTTGATCTCAGTGTTTCGGAGGAACCCTTCACCTCTGAGTATTCAAGCGAGGTTGCACGTACGAATTGAGAGGATTACTGAGGCGGAGGGCTTGTTATCATCTCGCGCCAGTTTGCTCCACCGAAGGTTACCCAGCAAGTGTCTCTTATAACTGCGTTAGTACCCGCATGGTCTTTGGTTTCCACCATCCAGTACACAGTGTGGTCTGAGTGCTGCCGTAACTTATTCATCTCTCTCTCTCTCTCTCTCTCTCTCTCTTTCAGGGGTGTGTGTGTGTGTGTGTGTGTGCTGGCACCTGTGTTGTTTAACATCTTTTTGCTGGCTGTAGCACAACTCTCACACAATGCCCTTGGGCGTGATGCAGGTGTGGGCATACGGTACCGTCTTGACGATAGTTTTTTAATATTAGACGTCTGGAAGCCTACACAAAGACCTTAACAACTCAGGTCATAGAACTACAGTATGCAGATGACTGTGCAATAATGACACATAACAGAGAATCTATGCACCGTGCACTGGAGGTGATCTCTGGAATCTACAGCTCGCTTGGTTTACAAATTAACACCCAGACTGAGATTTTTGTCCAGCCCATTGTTCCACCAAATATAAGTACCCAACTCTACATTAATGGAGATCCTATCAAAACAGTAAACCAGTTTAAGTACCTTGGTACCACTCTCACACTCACCTGCTCACTGGATATCGAAATTCAAACCAGAATCAATTTAGCCTCAGCTGCATTTGGACGTTTGAGAACAAGAGTCTTTCTCAACAATGACCTCAAATATGGAACGAAGACGACAGTTTATCTAGCGGTCTGTATATCTACTGTACATTATTATATGCCTCATAAACCTGGACGTCCTACAAACGCCATATTCAAATGCTGGAAAACTTCCACACTAGATGCCTTAAGCGTATCTTTGGAATATCCTGGGAAGATAGAGTGACTCATGAAGAACTATATCGTCGCTCAAACACGACCAGCATTGAAACCATGCTAGCCAAAAGACACTTGTGCTGGCGTGGACATGGTATCAGGATGCCAGACCACCGGCTTCCAAGACAAATATTATATGGTAAGCTCTCACATGGAAACAGCTCAGCGGGAGGACAGAAAAAGAGATATAAGGACCACTCTAAAATTCTACTCAAGTGCTGTAATATCCAACCAAATTCACCGGAGCAACTAGCCTCAGACCGTTCCTTATGGCGCTCAACATGCCATAGAGGAGCGGAAACACTTGAGACCTCACTGAACCAAAAGAGAGCTACTAAACGAGCCCAACGACATTTAGAGGGCTCAAGGCATAATTTCTCACAATGAACAACATCCCTGTCACCTATGCAACAAGATCTGCGCCTCCAGGATTGGACTCCATAGTCATCTACGGTGGCATCAGAGGAATAACACATAACTCATCAATCATCTCATCTGGAGCAACGTCGTTATAGACTTCGATGGACTGCCATAAGCAAGCAAGTGTGTGTGTGTGCGTATGTCATAAACATTGAAGGATGTTTAGCATTCAGCTGCTCTTCCCAGACTTCATTCTTTGGGGTGCGGTGGGTGAGTGGGTAAAGCGCTCGCCTCCTCTCTCAAGGGTCACTGGTTAGCACTAGGGGCATCCCCAGTCCAACAAACTGTGAATGGGAGCACCTAGCATATCAGTTGGGGAAGTACAAGCCATGGAATGCAGTGCCGAAAAAAGTCTTAGTATCCAGTGTGTTTTATTTGCACTGGTTGTCATGATTACGAGACTCGCTTTAATATATTTTTTTTCTTCACATATCTCCTGGTTACCTTCTTTCCTGTCCAAGAGCAGAGAGAAGCTTAGACGATATCGGTGAATCACAACTTTCTAAGTTCCTCATCAAAGTTGGATTCTCCGGGGCTCTGTCATTACCTCTATTCTCTTTCTTCTATATTTCGTCAACTTCTGTCAATAACAATAAATATAAAAGCTTCAAAATAACTAATGTTATTCCTTCGGTTATAATGCCTTCATCCAACACTGATTCCACGACAGTTACATAAAAGGGAAACTGTCAGTCTTTGCACATTAATATTTCTAAATCTCAATTCAACAACAAAATATCTGAATCAAATAACAGAACTGTCAGTAAATAATAAGTTCTTCAACCGCACTGATATGATTACTTCAGTCTTCTTCAGCGTTTCCAGGACAAAAAATGTCTCACAATCCCACTTGGAATCAACACAACTCTGTACTGTTCAGCTTTTAACAAAAGAAAATCTCTCTTTAATTTACATGTACTATTTTCTCCTTGTAAGTTTTCATTCATTAAAAAACTCTTTCTCGTCTTCTCCTGATGTGATTTAACCACATATGGGTGGTAGGGAATGGGAGTAATGATTCTTTGACAACGTTCATTCTATGGGAACACAATTTGACCTATGATTCGATTCTAACATTCATTCTCCCTTCCTCAATAATCCCTGTTGTTTGTCCTCCCTTCCTCAATAACCCTGGTTGTTTGTCCTCCCTTCCTCAATAATCCCTGTTGTTTGTCCTCCCTTCCTCAATAACCCTGGTTGTTTGTCCTCCCTTCCTCAATAACCCTAGTTGTTTGTCCTCCCTTCCTCAATAACCCCGGTTGTTTGTCCTCCTTCCTCAATAACCCTGGTTGTTTGTTCTCCTTCCTCAATAATCCTGGTTGTTTGTCTCCTTCCTCAATACGTTTTGTTCTCCTTCCTCAACCCTGGTTTTTGTCTCCTTCCTCAATAATCCTTTTTTTCTCCCTCTCAATAATCCCGGTTGTTTGTCCTCCCTTCCTCAACCCTGTTGTTGTCCTCCTTCCTCAATAATCCCGGTTGTTTGTCTCCCTTCCTCAATAATCCCGGTTGTTTGTTCTCCTTCCTCAATAATCCGGTTGTTTTTTCTCCTTCCTCAATAACCCTGGTTGTTTGTTCTCCTTCCTCAATAATCCTGGTTGTTTGTCCTCCTTCCTCAATAATCCTGTTTTTGTTCTCCTTCTCAATAATCCCTCCCTTCTCAAAATCCCTGTTTTTGTTCCCTTCTCAATAATCCCTGTTTGTTCTCCTTCCTCAATAATCCTGGTTGTTTGTCCTCCTTCTCAATAATCCTGTTTTTGTTCTCCTTCCTCAATAATCCCGGTTGTTTGTCCTCCCTTCCTCAATAATCCCGGTTGTTTGTCCTCCCTTCCTCAATAATCCTGGTTGTTTGTCCTCCTTCCTCAATAATCCCTGTTTTTGTTCTCCTTCCTCAATAATCCCTGTTTTTGTTCTCCTTCCTCAATAATCCTGCTGTTGTTCTCCCTTCTCAATAATCCCGGTTGTTTGTCTTCCCTTCCTCAATAATCCCTGTTGTTTGTCCTCCTTCCTCAATAACCCTGGTTGTTTGTCTTCCCTTCCTCAATAACCCTGGTTGTTTGTCCTCCCTTCCTCAATAATCCCGGTTGTTTGTCCTCCTTCCTCAATAACCTGGTTGTTTGTCCTCCCCTTCCTCAATAATCCCGGTTGTTTGTCCTCCCTTCCTCAATAATCCCGGTTGTTGTTCTCCTTCCTCAATAATCCCGGTTGTTTGTTCTCCTTCCTCAATAACCCTGGTTGTTGTTCTCCTTCCTCAATAATCCTGGTTGTTTGTCCTCCTTCCTCAATAATCCTGTTTTTTTCTCCTTCCTCATAATCCCTGTTTTTGTCCCTTCTCAATAACCTGTTTTGTTCTCCTTCCTCAATAATCCCGTTGTTTGTCTTCCTTCTCAATAACCCTAGTTGTTTGTCCTCCTTCCTCAATAACCCCGGTTGTTTGTCCTCCTTCCTCAATAACTGTTGTGCCTCCTTCCTCATAACCCCGGTTGTTTTCTCCCTTCCTCATAACCCCGTTGTTTGTCCTCCTTCCTCAATAATCCCGTTGTTCTTCCTTCCTCAATAACCCTAGTTGTTTGTCCTCCCTTCCTCAATAACCCCGGTTGTTTGTCCTCCTTCCTAACAACCCTAGTTGTTGTCTCCCTTCCTCATAACGGTTGTTTGTCCTCCCTTCCTCAATAACCCCGGTTGTTTGTCCTCCCTCTCTTTATTCCTATGGGGTCTTTTGGATGGGTGTTTTAAGCTCTTTTAGACACACCATTCTACAGTGTGCTGTATACAGTCGCTCTGTTTGTCTTCTCTGTGCTTTTAAAACACCTATACATGGTTTCTTCTCCAACACGTGTTTTAGGTCTCACGATCCTCTCTCTCTCTTCAAGGCACTTTCCTCATGCGTCTCTCCCCATGCGTCTCTCCTCAGGCCTTTCTCCTCTCCTCACGACTCTGTCTTCACGACAACTCCTGTTACGATCTTCTCCTCACGATCTTCTGTAACAACCCCATCATTACAACATTATCCTCATAACTCTCTGCTCACACCCTACAACCCCTCTGCTCAAACCTTCCTCTCACAACTCCCTGCTCACAACTTTCCCCTCACAACCGTTTGCTCACAATCCTTCACTCACAAACCTATCATAACAACCTTCCCATCACAACCCTTTACCCACAAACTTTCCTCCACATCCTTCCCCCTTACAACCCTGTGCTCAAACCTTCCTCTAACAACTCTCTGCTCAAAACTTTCCCCTTACAATCCTCTGCTCACAATCCACACCTCACAATCCTATCATAACAACGTTTCCTAACAACCCTCTGCTCACAACCTTCCCCCAACAACCCTTCACTCACCTCTAAGTGCTCGTTTGTAACTACTTAACTTTTCTGCGAAATGGTCATGCATAATGGACACCTAATTTTGCTTCTTTCTGCGGCTATATACTCGTATACAACGTACATAAATTCAAACGCCTCTCTCTCTCTTTCTCTCTCTCTCTCTCATCCAAACCCCATTTTTTTCCTTGTTCAAACTTATCTATTTATCACTGTGTGAAATGACAGCAATGAATACTTACAGTAACTTTAAATAATAGTAATTACCGATTCGTAAAAGCAATAAGCTAATTTTTCAATTTTTCATAGTTTATGCAAGGCGATCGTCCATCTTCTATTCATTTGTTTCTACGTCATTCACTTCAAAAGTTGTGTCGTGTCGTGTCACAGCATCAGCTCAGTCATCTGTCATGTTACGTATCACATTTGTTTTGTAACTCTCAAACTTTGTCCTCGCAGGAAAGATATATTTAAAAAACATGTTACTGTTGTTCGTAATGGCACGAAAATACAACGTTGATTGATAGTCACTCCATCTTGGCTACTGAGAACTTGCCCTCCTCCCTGGCACGTCCTCCACCATTAATCGCTCTCTTTCATGTCCTCCTATCGTTGACTCACGACTGCGTCATTGATGTTGCTCGTTCTTACTGCGTCGTACCATCACCCCCCAACCCTTCGCCCTTCTTTCGATCAAAGCATCCACGTAACGTTTGTCAGACACTTATCGTGGAGAGTTTCCTTTTCGCCATCCCCACAGACCTTCAAAGTCGCTCCCGCACACTGCCACACACCTGACGCTGTTACGAAGAATCCAGCAACAACGTCTTGACAACTTTGTGCTGCATGACACGTGTCCCAGTGCCTGGGTGTGCAGTGGCATTCCAGTCATGTGGAAATGATGAGTCGGTGTTTTATTTGAAATGAGTCAAGGGATTAAAGAATATATTATATTTTCTTACGAAGGCAGATGCATTCATTCCTCTCCATTTAGTGAGGAATGGAGGAACTTCAGGAGACAGGTAAGTGTGATAGTTCAAAAGAGGGAATAAACTCCACTGTG